GGGTTCTGTTACTCTAGGAACATTAATGAAACCAGCTGTTAATTTGAACATAGTAACCTAGAGGTCTTTCATAACATAATTGCTTTATGCAGTGCTAACAAAATACAACTTAATGTAAGGCAGGCATTGGATAGTGGAACTGGAGACCAGGCTTTATGCAGTGGAGATGAGGCATTGTTGAACCAAAGAAAACTGAGTTTACCCAGCTGTATGTCAGTCTAAAAAAACCTTCTATACAGAAACTCTTCCAAATATGTCTTACTCTAACAATAATGTCTAGGTGATTTCAGATGTGAAGATTGACATTTATTAGTTGCAATATCTTACTTGACTACAGAATAACATAGTATGTGATGTCCTTGCTTCTTTCTACCTGAGTTGCAGCAAATGTTCTGAGAGCTTAATGCAATTCATCAAATAAATCCCACATTAGTTGGTCTAACTAATAGTGTGGCATAGAAACCAGATAATATTTTCATTATACTTAGTGACTATTCTGCTAATATTTTTACTTTTCACATGGTAAAGGATTAATAACATTCAAGGCCTTTTTGTTTCTCATTTACTTTTATCTAAATCTGAACAGTATCATAAATGCATGTCATGACAGCACTGTTTTTTAAGTAAGTACATGTTTTAGAGATGTTTAATGTATACTCAAAGTTGTCATTTTAGAAAACTTGAATAACATTCTCAATCAAAAGGTCCAGTAAGTTAGCAGGTAGAGAAAATTTACTTTCTCTTTATAAAAGAGAAATTTTTTTAAATTTACTTCTCTTTTTAAAACATTATTCACAGTTATTTATTGTATACCAAGCCAAATATCTTAAAATCTGCAACATTTTTGAAGTATTTTTGAGCAATAATAAATGCTGTTCTCAAAACAGACCTTATTCTTATCTAAGATTTAAACTAACAGTTTTATAGAATGTTTATTATAATACCATATAAAGGAAACATAGTGTTATATATTCAGAGCATTTCACACTAAAGCAGGAGAATATACATTCTTTTAAAGTACCCATGGAACAATCTCCAGAATAGATCACATACTGGGTCACAAATCAGGCCTCAACTGGTACAAGATTGAGATCATACTGTGAATATTTTCAGACCAAAAGCTGTGAAACTTTAAGTCAACCACAAGAAAAATTCTGGAAAGCCCTCAAATACATGGAGGTTAAAGAACTTCCTACTAAAGATGAATGGGTTAACCAGAAATTAAAGAGGAAATTAAAAAATACATAGAAGCAAATGAAAATGAAAACATGACAGTCCAAACCCTTTGGGATGCAGCAAAGGCAGTCCTAAGAGTAAAGTACATTGCAATTCAGGCCTATCTCAAGAAGCAAGAAAAGTTCCAAACATACAACCTAATCTTACACCTAAAGGGGCTAGAAAAGAAGTAGCAAATGAAGCCTAAAGCCAGCACAGATAAATTATATAGAAACAACAAAAAAGAAAGTAGACCAGATCAATGAAAGTAAGAGCTGCTTCTTTGAAAGAATAAACAAAATTGATACACCCTTAGCCAGACTTATCAAAAAGAAAAGAGAAAGGACCCAAATAGATAAAATCACAAATGAAAGAGGACATCACAACTGACACCACAGAAATACAAACAATTATAAGAGAATACTATGAAAAATTATATGCCATTGAACTGGGCAACCTGGAAAAAATGGACAAATTCCTAGAAACTCATAAACCACCGAAACGGAAACAGGAAGAAATAGAAAACTTGAACAGACCCATAAGCAGCAAAGAAATTGAAACAGTTATCAATAGTCTCCCAACAAACAAGAGTCCTGGGCCAGATGGCTTCCCAGGGGAATTAGTAGAGTTGATACCTATTCTTCTCAAACTGTTCCAAAAAATAGAAATGGAAGTAAAGCAAACTCACTCTAGGAAGCCACCATTACCTTGATTCCAAAACCAGACAAAGACCCCACTCAAAAGGAGAATTAGAGACTAATATCCCTGATGAACCTGGATGCAAAAATTCTGAACAAGGTACTAGCAAATCAAATTCAACAGTGCATTTAAAGAACATTAAAAGAATGATTCGCCATGAATAAACAAAAGCAAACATGAACTACTGGGATTTCATCAAGATTAAACCTTCTGTACAGGGTAGGAAACAGTCAACAAAAGCCAACAGAATGGGAGAAGATATTTGTAATTGACATAAGATAAAGGGTTAGTATCCAAAATCTATAAAGAACTTACCAAACTCAACACCCAAAAACCAAACAACTTAAGAAATGGGCAGCACTAAGAAATGGGCAGCAGCCATGAATAGACACTTTTTCAAAGAAGATATCCAGATGGCTAAAAAGACACATGAAAAGATAATCAACATCTCACATCATCAGGGAAATACAAATCAAAACCATGATGAGATGTCACCTCACACCTTTCAAAATGGCTAACACTAACAACACAAGAAACAACAGGTGTTGGTAAGGATGTGGAGGAAGGGGAGCCCTCTTGCACTGTTGGTGGGAATGTAAACTAGTGCAGCCATGCTGGAGAACAGTATGTGGAGGTTTCTCAAAAAACTAAAAATAGGACTACCCTCTGATCCAGGAATTTTACTACTAGGTATTTACCCAAAGGATACAAAATAACAGATTCAAAGGGGTACATGCACCTCAGTGTTTACAGCAGCATTATCAACAATAGCCAAACTATGGAGAGAGCCTAAATGTCCATTAATTGATGAATAGATAAATAAGATGTGATATATATATAAAATAATATATAATATATAAAAGTATAAATATAATATATATTTAATATATAAAATTTTAAAACATAAAATGATATATATTATATAAAATGGAATATTACTCAACCATCAAAAAGAATGAAATCTTGCCATTTTCAACAATGTGGGCAGAGATAGAAAATATTATGCTAAGCGAAATAGGTCAGTCAGAGAAAGACAAATACCATATGATTTCACCCATGCGGATTTAAGAAACAAAACAGATGAGCATATGGTAAGGAAGGGTGGGAAGAGAAGAAAAGGAAACAAACTACAAAAGATTCTTAATACTAGAGAACAAACTGAGTGTTGATGGGAGGAGGTGGGTGGGAGATGGGCTAGATGGGTGATGGGCATTAAAGAGGTGACTTGATGTGATGAGCACTGGGTGTTGTATATAAGTGATGAATCACTGAATTCTCGTGAAACCAATATTGTGCTGTTATGTTTACCAAAATTTAAATTAAAAAAAAAATGACTATTACAGATGAAAAAAAAAGAAAGAAATGGAAGGAAAACTTCCAAACTCATTCAGTGAGGCCAGGATTACCTTGATTCCAAAACCAGAGACCCCACTAAAAAGGAGAATTATAGATCAACATCCCTGATGAAATTCTCAACAAGATGCTAGCAATACAAATCCTACAGTACATAAAAAGAATTATCCACCACGATCAAGTGGTATTTATTCCTGGGCTACAGGTATGAGTCATTATCCACAAATCAGTCAGCATGATACACGAATCTCTGAGTTTCCATTATTTCTTACGGGGAAATTCGCTTTGATATACAAATGCTTTGGATTACAAGCATGTTTCTGGAACAAATTATGCTCTCAAACCAAGGTTTTACTGTTTGTCAATGTACTCCTACATCATAAATTAAAATTGTTGGGATTTTTCACCTCTGAATTATCCAACTAGGTTTGAATTGCAAGGTTAAGTTGCCAGATTAATTATATAGTTACTTCAAGGTTTAAATTCTTCATCACCTGGCAACTACTTACTGATCTTGGATTTAGTAATTTTAATTCACAAAAATGTCATATGGAAAGAATTCAACTGGGAATTGTGATGATGTGTTGTACATGTTAATTTTTTACGTTTAACTCTTCTCGTGATCATCTAGGGTGACATGAATTCTGGAAGCAGGAGGAAACAACTCATTTTTTTTCTCATTGCCATGCCTTTTATGAAGAGTACAAATTGATAAGTCCTAAAGTAAGAACTTCACAAAGAAGGGAAATTCCTTTTGTCTGCTCTTAAAAAAAAAAGAAAAGAAAAAGAAATTATGGTGTTATTATACAAATTGTATTTATCGCCTAGTTTAATCATTTCCTTTTCATTTACTTTATTCATTTATTTCTTATTGTACATGCGAAATTTGTAATCAAGAATTTGGATAATATATATGTGAATGCAGAATAGTAAACAAAGCAGTCATATAACTTTAGGAATGCAAGAAAATTCCAATGTTTTTGTTTCATTTTTAAAATGTTGCCAGAGGGTTTGATGGTGTCTTTCATTATTATGAGGTGATAAAAATGTTGCCCCTAGTATGTAAATTCTTTGGCATAGGATCAACCATGTTGCATTGGTGCATGGTGCCTATAGTGACGCTGTTCAGGCAATAATTTCTCTGTAGGAACATTTATTTGAATGACTACTTTGGATCAATAAGATTTTGAAAGAAGTTAGAACCTCTACTACTTTGGAGGGAAAAAGCATAGGCGTATGCATTTTTTAGAATATCTTCAGATAGCTTTCAGAGAATTATTTCTTGGTGACATTGCTCGTCTCAAAAAGGAAAAAGAAAAACTAAGCAGAGAGACTTTTCATTCATTGTGACAGACGGGGAAATTAGCAGCATTACTGATTGGACAGGAAATAGAAAAGCCAAATTATCTGGGACTCTAAGTGCTTAACTGGTACTTTGCCTTTTGGATTATCTGTTAGGAAGCCTGTTCTCAACTTCATGACCGGTATATTTGATAAGGGGCTCTGAAAGTATTTGGTTTTATAACAAGGGGCCTGTTGTCAGTTTGTAAAGGTATACGTGAATACTAGCATGAGAAAGTTGGTAAGATGTGGCAGCAGAGGCACATTGGACTGTTTTGATGAATTAAAGTCATTCATCATAAGGGATTTTTAAAAGCACTCTATGATTTTTTTATTGAAAAGTACTCTATGAATTATTTTCTGATGCTAAATAGCTTAATAAAATCCTGCAGGAGGAACAGCTGAAATCTCATGAAAGCAAACTGAAGCAGATTACCACTGAGCTGGCTGAACACCGCTCATATCCCCCGGATAAGAAAGTTAAAGCCAAGGAGATAGATGAATACAGACTGAAAGATCACTATCTGGAATTTGAGGTATGTTGAACCTAAATGTAATAAATGCCTATACCTAAGTTATTTTATGATTTTTTTCCATGAGACTTTTTTTTTTTTTTGGCTACTGCAACTATGGGAAGTATACCTTGACCCTGCCTCTAACTTGGGAGCTCTGGGCATGGTCTAGATCATGGTGGCCCCTCATGCTCAGGATTCTATTTAAGCATCAAAGAAACATCAAAAAATAACTGTTAGTTTATGTGCTTAAAAGCAAACAGCCTGCCTGGTTGGGATAATGTGTGCCTGCTGTGAGAAAAAACAATGCCAGAATGGGGCAGCTGCTTTCTATGTGTCTATATCTCTTCCAGCAGAGTTTGAGTCAAAAAAATAAAAAATAAAAATACAGTGGAGGAAATGAGCTATAGGGTGATATGAAGTATCTGTTATAGTCTGTGTTACTTCCTATCCTTCATCTCCTTCATTCTCATCTTATCATCCTGTTTCTTCCTAAAGCTTGAAACTTAGACTCATTTGAGCACCCTCCTCCTGGCCCCTGCAGCCCCCCAGTATCTAATCAGGAGCTAAATCCCAGTGCTCAGCCACTCTAGTGTTTCACTTCTGTCTCTTCCTTACCATAGGCAATTGCTCTTATACTTCCTCTGCTCAAGTCCTGGGTTTTTCATCTCTCACCTGAATGTGGTGGTAGCCTCCTGTGTCTCTTTAGTTCTCTTGTGACAGTTAATTTTTCTTTTTTAATTTTTTTAATGTTTATTTATTTTTGAGAGAGAAAGAGAGCATGAGAGGGTGAGGGGCAAAGAGAGGGGGAACAGAATCTGAAGCAGGCTCCAGGCTCTGAGCTGTCAGCACAGAGCCTGACAACTAGTTTTCTAAGGCTTAACCCAGACAGTGGCATTCCTCTGTTTAGCAGCTGCCCTTGAGGTTCTCCTAAGACTCCCCCCAAAATTTATCTTATGAGTAAAGTCCTAATCCTTAATCTCAGAGGATTTGGGTTCCTTCTGTCTTTCTACCACACTGGTTTCTTTCCACAACATCCTCCTTATGTGTTAGTCACATTTCTGCCTACTCTCTCCAAGTGTACTTTGTGCCTTTGTTCATCTACTTTCTTCTGCCCCAAATGCCCCTCCCCTCATCTTCATTCCTGAAAGCCCTGTTCAGCTTTCAAGATGCAACTCAAATACCTCCTATGAAATGACTACTCGGGATGCCTGGGTGGCTCAGTCAGTTAAGCATCTGACTCTTGCTTTTCCCTCAGTTCAAGATCAAACAGTTCATGAGATCAAGACCCCAGGTCAGGCTATGTGCTGATAGTGCAGAGCCTGCTTGGGATTCTCTCTCTCTGTCTCTCTTCTCTCTGCCCTTCCCCTGCTCACTCTCTCTCAAAATAAATAAACATTTATTTTTTTTTTAAATGTCAGTTCTAAACTAATTAATTGGGTTTAATCTGTTACAGTCCTTGCCACAGTTGGTTTTATGTTAAAGTTTTTCAGTATGTCTTTGTATCTATGGTAGATTCCATAACACCTCCCCCTGTTCAAGATGGTGAGTTCTTGGGAGTACAAAGACCTCAAGTTCATTTCTAACCTTTGCTGTATGCTTGCATATTGAATTGGATAGGATTTCATGGAAGCTTATATCTCCCTGAGTTATAAAATTTCTGTTATAAGATGTGGCATTTTATCCAGTGCAGATCCATGTACTAGCATTCTTTATGGCCAAGCAAGTTCTTGCTGTGGGCAGATGAAGAAAAGTCATTCTTTTAGTAAAGGTAAAAGTTTATTAGCAAAAACTGTAGAAGCCTCACCAGCAAAAGACTTGAAAAATATTTTGTAAAAAACAAAACAAAACAAAAAACTAAGGAGCTCATCTTTCCCCAGGTTTGTTCATTCTTGAGAAATGGGAGTTTCTCAGAAAGCAATCATAATTCTTCACACTTTGAGTGGCTTTCAGCTATGGGCCCTTTTATTTTCACACATACTAACTGAATTTCCCAACACCCTCACTCCCCTGTGTCTAGCACTCAACACCTTACTTTGAGCCTTTGACTTTAAAGGCTGAGAGCTTGTCCACAGGAGGTGGGGGTAGCTGCAAGATCATTGAAAAGTTGTCACTGCTAGAAGCACTCCATATTTTTTTTAAAGATTCTTTAACATTTATTCACTTTTGAGAGACAGTGTGAGTAGGGGAAGGGCAGAGAGAGGGAGACACAGAATCCAAAGCAGGCTTCAGGCTCTGAGCTATCAGCACAGAGCCTGACGTGGGACTCAAACCCACCAACTGCGAGATCATGACCTGAGTCAAAGTCAGACACTCAACCAACTGAGCCACTCAGGCACCCCTGCACTCTATACTTTTGAACCTACTGTGGTGCCCCTTTTCAGAAAATGTAACCTAGCAAGAACCAGCATTTTCATTTCCTAACATGGAATTTAGACCAAGCTTTGTGGGGATCAGTCTTGCTTTCATTACATTGTCACCTCATGGAACCTGAAAATTGTATTACACAATCCCTGGCTCATCAAAATCATATTCATATGCTAATATGTCAGGCATATTGGATTGTCTCTCAAGTTGCATTAACCTATGTCTATCAGGAAAGTAGAAGAGTAGATGCTATCCAAAAAGGTGTTTATAAAATTAATTCTTTTTAAAAAGTGAATTATTAGTTTTCACTAACTTGTGGTAATATATCTTGTGGGGTCCACTTTGCTATTGTTTCAGCCACCAGAATTTGTGTTGTGTGTTTGTTCGTGGAGATCTTTTGCATAGCATTGAGCATTCTGCTTCATAAGCAACATTTTCTTAGCAGACTGCTTCATTCCCTGAATGAATCTAATCTCATTCCCTGAATAGAGGGTATGAGAGTTTTTTATTGATCATTTTGTATATTTTGTTCACTTCTCTATCCTCAGGCTTCTGGAACATAGGTTTAATGTATATTTGTTGAATGAACGCATGGAATTTTATTATTATATATAAAAGATAACATCAAAGAAAGTAGTTCTCTGAGACAGCTTAGTAGCTGCCCTGCAAACAAATCTGATAGGCAGGTAAGAACAGTGTCTGCAATTCAGTGTGAATCTCAAGTGGGCAGTGACAGGAAGGGGAGCTTTAATCCCATCTGCATCCTGTCGCCAGTAAGAATAACAGGCAAAAATTAGCTGTTTCACCTACTCCTGTAATAGGGACCTCCCTGTGGTTTCAGACCATAGGAAATTCTTACAATTTTTACACTTGATAAGGAAAAATGCCTTTATTTTGTTAGAATGTTAAGCTTTTGGTGATTACACTGGGAGTTGTTCCTCCCTTTACGCATTTCAGTTGTTTATATCCCAAGTTGCTTTGAGTACCAACAGTCTTCATTGTAGGCCAAATTCATAGCTCTTTCTGTGCCTTCAAAGTCTGACTGACAGTAAGTTATTAGAAATTATAGTAAATAAGTAGGTTCAGAGTGTGAGTTTTTTGTTGTTGTTTTGTTTTAAAGTCTATAAAAAGTCTACAGAGAACAAAGAGACTTCCATTTATCTTACTAGCTTTAGCCTATAAGAAAAAGATTCTCTTTTACTTAAAGCAGCGAACTACACTCAGAATGGGCTATAATTGACTACATCTGTGCCTGTCTCTCTGTTGACAGGGGGAAGAGAGGTTGTTTGTATTTGATTGGATTTGTACCTCCAAGCCATGACTGTTAATTTTTCAGAAGAGTTCACTTGGAACCTAAACTTACTTTTGAAAGAGTGGTTAGACCTAACAAGTCTCTGTTAAGAAACTCATCATCATTTTCCAATTTCAAAAAATAAATATCAGAAATAGCCTTGCTTCTTTATAAATTAACTTATTTCTACTTTATTCAGTTCCCATTTCACTTCAAAATGTCTAAATTGATCTCCATGCTGCTGGTGCATTTGGAAATTTTTCAAGATATGGGACAGATGGATGATTTGTATTAGATATAAAAACTTGATAGCTTGGTAGTTAGCCCCATACATTTGGGTTTGTTTCTTTAGCTTTAAAAACAATGGCAATTAGAAAGTGTAGATACTGTTTACTCCCAGTATTTCATGTAACAAGATGTTTTCAACAGCTCAAATAATTCATCCTTAAGCCTAAGTAGGGAAAGGGAGACTGTGTAGCAGCCCAAACTGTTTAAAAACATGACTGGGCTGTATGAGATTTACAGAAGAGGAATTATTTAGGGCCAGGTTAATAGAGGTTTCTGAGGTTCATTTTAGAGCCAGGTGGAAACTTGGTGGCCAATACAATGCCAATGAATTTAATGTAGCCAACAGACCTAATGTCAGCAGTTTTGTTTGACCAGCACAGTGCTGTATTTGTTTTCGTTCTAATTTATATGCACTCAGAGAGGATCAGCAGTCTCTTCTCCACTACTCCCTATTATATCACATCCGGTAGGTTTCCACATTATGTGTTGGCCCAGCCCCTGAATGCATTTGAGTTTGCCATCCCTAGTATAATAGGTGCAGCCAGTTGTATATGCTTTGTGTCTTAGTTAAATCTTTGAACATGGGCGTTGGACTCAGCAATCCCTTCATGTTTAGAAAGTGGATACTTCCAGGTGTGTGTTTTCAGGTTCTAATCTAGCAAATAAAAAATTCCACTTCCCTGATGGCTCAAGCCAAATGCAAAATAATGTCCCCTTGGCTTAATGAGCTAGAATTCAGTAAGTTTTCTCTCCTCATTTGCAACCTAGAGTAGCATATACTTATGGCTTAAGACCGTTAGGACTCACACCAGCCACATGGCTAGGAAATTCCATTTTAGAAACAACAAATGTCCATTATAACAAGACATATAAGAAGCTTGGAACAGAATATTTTAAATCTAGAAAATCTAGGACATTCTTGAGACATGCTGCATCTTTTTCTGACTTTGTGATTTTTCTTGGCATGTTAAAAAAAGGCATGATTCTTTCTAAAATTGACATATTTGAGAATATGAGCAGTGTCATTAAACTCAACTCATGTTTAGAAGTGCCCATAATATAAATATCTAGTTGTAAA